ATAATAATAATAATAATAATAATAATAATAATAATAATAATAATAATAATAATAATAAACTTGCTTAGCTTTGCAGCCTTAAATCTGTTTTTTGCCACAGTCACATCGGCTAAGTTTTCTCTAGTTTACAGCAATATTTCCTACGGCAAAGTGCATGAACAGCAATCCCTGCACTCACACCAGGAAGCTATAACCCACCAGGCATTTGTAGGAAGTGTTACCATTCAGAAACGCATTTCAGCCATTCACAGTTTGTATTTGTCAGAATAGTATATACAGTCCAACTTCCGTAAAGCTCTCAGACAGAGAGGGAGAGAGATGTTATGTACCTGTGTCTGAGGTTTTCCATAACTTCCACCCCTTGCGCCTTAAAGGAGGAAGGGGGGATTTCTTTATTTCTACATAGTATATATTCTGTGTGGTATTTTTACCTATACAGATCACCAGGAGGCAGTACATGATGAAACCGGTCATGCACTGCCTCCTGGTGGTCTATATAAGTAAATTCCCAGGTTTAGTGGTCTAACTGTGATAGCAGCTGGAAATATTGCTCCAGAAAGTAAGATTCTTTCTACTCCTCTTCTATACGTATCCACTTCTACTTAGAAATAAGCCTTATTGAGATTAGCAGGGCTCCAGTACGCAGCACTATGGCCCAACAGCGCAATCTTTTTATTTCCTATGGCAATCAAGGAGCCTTAGTTCCCTCTAAGGCTGTCTCACAGCCATAAGATTCGAAACCTCGCCATTTCTGCTTTGTTTAGGGTTTTTGTCGATCCTCCGTGCATTCTCACGGAACGATAATGCAGGAAGGATTCCAAACAAACTAGACTAGGCCTGCAACACGTGACTAGTATTTGGTGAACTGGAGTCATTTTTGAAAATGTTGAATCTACGGTGTAGAGAAGTGTATTATCACACAACAGCAGCAGATAGATCAGAAAATGATAAATTTCCCCTTTTCGTTGAATTTGGAGGCACTTACTGTCAGTGAATTGGAATGGTTTATTTATTGCCCTGCTTTTGAATGATGGCAGTCAACGGGCACACAACGGCAGTCATGAAGAAAAAGAGAGGTGAGCTGTGTACGGTATTCCCACACAATGGAGCATTTCTCTGTTCTTTGCCTAACGCAGTGTTTTTCAACCATGGCAACTTTAAGATGCTGGCTGGGGAATTCTGGGAGTTGGAATCCAAACCTCTTAAAGATGCCAAGGTTGAAAAACACCGCCCTAATGGATGGGGCCAAAATGTGTTCCCTTCCACTCTGCAGTCCTAGGACAAATGATAATTACAGCAGAGTATTATTTCTTAGCATGGAAATGGAAATTATTACATATAAGCTATAACTCAAGGTGTTTGAAAATAAAAAGCATTTGAATTTGGAGCTATTTATTTTAAAGCATTTTATCCATGCTATACAGTATTTATTTTGTTATGTTTATATCCTCTGCAGGTATTTAGTCTGATTTCAAAAACAGGCTAAAACAATACTGTTCCAGTGCATGCTTGGCCCTTAGAATGGGGGCTTTGATATACCAGGGTTGTTTGGTTTTGTATTTTTTGTTTTGTATTATTTCTGTTTTAACATTTTTTGGATTTTATTATGTCCTGCCAGAGTCCTTTAGGATTGTGGCAAGCTATGAATATTGTAAACAAATCTTTACTCTAGGAGCTAAAGGTAGCACGTAACACTTTCTTGTCCAACTTTTCTCTACAGCAACCACTGTGTGAGGAAAGTTGGGCTAAGAGAGAACGAATGGCTCAAAGTCACTCAGCAAATCTCGGCGGTTGAGGGATTTGAGCCTGCAACTTTGCAGTCCTAGTCTAACTCTTTAATCACTATACCACACTCTCTTTAGTGAAAAAATAGCTCTCAGAGTAGCTTAGAAATTGCTCTAATTCTTTAAGTCATCCTTCTTAATGTGACCCACTCTGGGGTAAAAATGGTTCAAAGGTAGCATGCTGGCTAGAAGAAAGGAGAGAACCCAAGATAGTTGGGCATTCAGTAGAATTAGCAGCCTATCTCTGCTTCTCTTTTCTCCCGTTTATCCTGCTCGAATAAGCGCTGCAAGGAGCCTTTTTTTTTCAATTGCAACCAATCATTTGTAATTACTAACTGTGGGGAATGATGCACATCAATTATGGGATGCGCCATGGTGCATGCTACATTTTCTTGGCTATCACTGCCAAGAAAGTCAAAGAACGTGAGCACCTTGTGTCCAGTAATGATCAAGCAAGCGTGGACAGCTAGATGCTCACAAATACAAGCTTTGAGGCCCTAAGCATGCAATGAAATGACATTCAACTTTCCCATCCCCAAAGAAAGAGGTGTTTAATCCCTTTTTACTCAGCATGTCATTAATTGGGGTAGCCAAAAATTAGAATACATATAATGCATGGGCCACAATAGACCCAGGTAAAGTTGGTTTGGTAAACTAGACATTCCAGGGCTTAAACATGGCATTCTTTCTTGCATAGCCTTCCTAAGGTTAACATGACTTGAGAGACATTTTTAAGAACCCTTCTTATAGGTATTAGAGAATGGTTGATTATTCTCATTTAGAGGGCCCTGAAAGACAGTCTTAAAACACATGTTTATCACTCAGAGGGTCTTCCAATACAATTTCATCTTTTTGCAGCAATCTTTGAGAAATTTGCATCCCAAAAGCTAATGAAAGAATAAGTCCTTAGCCATACTAACTTGGAAACTCCTTCATTAATTTACCCAAGCCCTCTAGCTGGATTCTCCTCACATCCATCTCTATTATGTCTTCAGCTTTTTAATATTATGCTGCATATCTGCTTGCTATGGGTCAAAAAAATCAAGATGGCCATGACCATAAGATCAAATCCCCATCTCTTTTTATGAGTATTGTGCATGCAAAGCACATAAAAAAGGGAGTGGCTTTGACCATATGGTCACAGCTACTATCCTGACTTTTTGGACATCCCTTCCCTGTAGATCCCACTGCTATGAAAATCACAAGTTCATTTCTTGAAACTACATTTTCCCAATCACGCTCCCTTTAGATGTCTTGGACGATGATTTCCACAGCTATTGGATAAAGTTGAGAAGATGTGTAATCCATGCGTACCAGGATTCTCTCAACTGCTATGGCAGAGTGGAAGGAGTGGTGCACCAGATCATCAATGATTTCATTGTCTGTGACAGTTGATTTTTTTTGGTAGTGTGCTACATACCACTCTGTCCTCTCCATTTATACTATGCTAGTAGCTATGGTAACTTCTCCCACGCTCTGTACTCTCCCCATCCAAAAGTGGGGGAAATCTGAGTTAAGCAATCTATTAGTATGTATATTTTGTGTACAGTGTTTATACTCTGATGCTCATTTGAGCATATTTGAACTTTCTTACCATTTTCTACTTGATCATTCTTAGATCTGTATTTTTCAATTAAACATTAGAGGCAGTGTCAGGATACTTACAGCTTTGACAGATAACACTTTCTTGTAAGGTAGAAACTGTGAAAATACACAACTAAGTATTTGATGCCACTGACTGGTCAATTTAATTTTACTTTCTTTTAAATACTTGAGTCCGACTGAAATCACGTGAATAGCCAGAATTAGTAATCAAGTCTCATTTCACAAATTAGCATTAAAGTTTCTTTTTATAAAAATCATTTTTAACATTTTAATAGGTACACAGAAATGAAAACAAATATGGCCGTTCATTTCTTTCCCCTACCTTTTTAACAAATATGCATTTGACTTTATACGTGTGCAATATTAAAGCTGATTGCATAGGTAATCATTTCATCCAAACATACATTATAGCACCAGGCATTATCATCACTATATACTCAGTCCTGTACTAATGCATTGCACAAAAAGGACTACAAGCTCAGGCGTACCCTCTAAAAGACCCAGTTAACCAGCTCAATTTCTGACTATAATAGCAATGTTGACGCAAGTGCCTAAACCATTTGTATACAGCACAAACCATATAGGTAAATGCAAATGGAATATTTGTCTGCAGAAAGTTCTCTTAATTCATATACACCCCAATGTTTAATTTATTTGCCTGAATGCTACATACATACATACATACATACATACATGAATGACAATCTTAGAATATTAGTATAGCTAAGATGGATGTACTCAGCTCAAATAAAAGTACAGTCAAGAGTAGATCGTGTTTTTTCTCATTTAGATTTAATAACTAGCTGAGATAATCAACTTGAATGATTCTGACTGGCCCAAAGTCATTTAGTGAGGAAAAGGGGGATGTCTGCTAGTGTATTTCAGTCAGTTAAATCCCTTCAGATAGCCCTCTGTGTGCACGCCTGTCTCTTCTCATCCTGAGTTTGCTTACTGTGTCTGAATCAGTGACACCATCTGCACATTCTTCGGTAACGGGTATTTGAGAGAGTTTTCATTGCCATGTTTGGAGGATACACCAAGCTAAATGGTCCAGTTTGATGGGTTTTCCATTTCTCTCCTTTTTATTTTAGAGCCAAGCACTCTTAAGTGTTTTCTTGGTCTGGAGGTGATTACTGAGGTCTTCAGAAACCAACAGTTTGGTAATTTTTAGATTATTCGCTTTGGCTAACCTGTGCTGGGAGCTGAGTCACAGTAATTCAGAGATGACCCAGGCTTTTTTCCTTAAGTCTATGCTGCTGTATTCACACAAGGTGCTTAAATAAATCAGAGGAGGATCTAGCAGATACATTCACATAACAATAATAATCAGGTTTGGCCAAATCCTAGGTACTAAGAAACCCTAAATTCCATTTGATGCTAGGGACAGAATTTTATATTCTGAATCACTCAGGTTTTTCTCCAAACATCCTTATTTTTTTCAATTTTTAAAATATCCAAAACTAAACACTATCACATTCTAACTAAATCATGCAGGCAAAGCTTGATCGTTGCTCTCTTCTACTTTCCCACTGTAAGGATAAAAGAATGTTAGAAAAACAGGAATAAAAATGAGACCGTGAACAGCTCCCCAAAACATAACTAGAAACATTATTTTAAAGAAGATTCTACAGAAGTAAATGGGGGTCACTGAGAGCACAGTTATGCCTACAATTGTAGAAATGGTACTCTGCAAAGCAGGGTAACCGTCAAGATACAGAGCATCCACTACCTTGTCATTGACTTTACATTTGTTACTGAGAACAAAGGAATAAGAAATATGAGCAGATAAGTCTACTGAAAATCCTATGCAAGTAATCAGCATGATCATAGATACAGAGTCAAGGTGCACTTGCCAGTAGGCCATAAAACCAGCTACACCTGAAGTTACAGACGTAACAGTGAAAGTTACCCACAAACAGGGAACAGGTTTAGGAATCAGCAGCAGGCAAATAAGGAACATTATTACACTGGCAATCACAACCTTTCTAATAGTGTAATAAACTACCGAACGAAACTGATCAAAGTATATAAAAGTTGGATGATAAACCTTTAGTGGTATTTTACAATTCCTAGCAGTATGTCTCAGTTGATTTAAAAGTCGTTTCTTATCTACTCCATTTTTAATACTGACAGTCTGAATGAAAAAACGTGATACTAATATTTCTTTATCATTGAGTTTAACATTCCACTGGGACTCTGGATTTATTGAGAATAAGGTGGGTAAATTTGCAATGAATTTGTTATGATCATCTATATTTAGAGAAAGGCGTTTAGCGACTGACTGATTCTCAGCCATGACTCTGACAAAGACCTATCCGTAAAAGATAAGCTCTCTAGGTCTTTCATGCATTCCTCAAAATCTCTGCGTTCCAAGGGGTCCCAATATGCTATGCTTTCAGTCACAATGACCATAACTTTCGGACCATACTTGGAAAAGTGTTCATCTTCCCAGTCATAATATGGAACAACATAGGAATCATCTATAGCTACATTTCGAGGATTTAGTTCTTCTGTAATTTGAGTACATCCATAAATGCTAGTACCCAGGTATATGAGATACAGCACTACAACAAATACCTTTGTCCAGATGTGCATAAGAAATGGACCATAATACATTCTAAAGAAATTATTCATGGGATGATCAATTTCAGCTCCAGTGGACTCATCAAAAAATCCTCCTATACAGCGCATATTATATATCAGGCTCCGAGTAGGTTCACGCTTCACTTTCATGAATGTCAACCAATGTCTGTTGCTTTCTTCTCTTCTTCCATTTAAAGCAAGGACAGCTCCAAGGAAAGTCAAGTTGTATATGTAACAAAACATGAAAGCTGTTCCTGTGTAGATGCAAAATGACTGTACTGAGACAAAGGAAGCCTTACTTCCAATATAGAAGGCTAAAACATCAGTCAGAGTTGTGATGGTAACTGAAACAGCTGCCTCTGCATAGGTGTCAGCCATTCTGTCCTTGACACTATCCTTCACTTTGGTTTGTTGCCAACGGGACACAAAGATGAACATGTCATCAACACCAACTCCTGGAGCACAGAACAAAGATAATGTATCACTTTTTCATAGGCCAACAACAAAGGTAAAAAACACAGTTTCACATCAACATTTATTAGGGAAAGTGTAGGATTCACCTGAATCAGACTACTTGGGATCAATTCTTTAGCATCATAAGCTGTAGTGAAATTTCTGTATTAAGATCATCGTAATACAGTTTATAATTCGGTGCTAATTTGGAGAAAAGCACATCTAGTATAAAAATAATCATTAATATGAATGGCACAAGGAAGTAATTCTAGCCATTCCATCTGTAGGAGAGGAAGAACTGATGTCATGATGTGAAGGCATCTGATGAAAAATACACACAAAAGCCAATCATGCTTCATAGACTGAACATTTTGTAATTACTTATAAACTACAATAATAGCTTGACTCAAGCTGTTGACTCAATATAAGAAATTAATACTACAATAAATAAACACACAATTGACTCAATCCATAAATTCAGTAAACACACACACATGCAAAGGCTCTTAAAAGAACCAGGCTGCAACCATCAAGACCCAAAAGCTTGGCTGAATCATCAGTAATCCTAAAGGGAAACCAACTTGAACTCCCAGAAGATAGCATTCCATGATCAACACAGTTGAGATCTTCTCTTGCTCTCTCCAGTGATGGGACAATTAAAACAGATCAACCTGGCAGATCTTAATACACAAAAAAAGCACATTCAGGCAATTGATCAATATCCAAAACTACTGATAGCTTTCATCTTGCACAAGAATCAAACTGCAATGGAGTAAAATGCAATTTCAAAATCATATTCCTAAAAGTAACTGAGCTGGCGGCCTTGTACACTACCCCCAGAATACAGACCGTCATCTGCCTCAATAAAGTACATTATAAGAATTCAACCAGGATGTTACCTACGAACCACTAAGTATAAAAGAGTGCCGCTGGGGAGGGAAGCGGGGAAGAAATCTCAATTTGCCATTTATTTCTGTCGTGAGCATAATATAAGAATCCAAAGGAAGAACAAGCCAATGAACAACAGACATCTCTGGAAGAAGGGGCAAAAGACTGCAGCCCTACTTATGTCTTTTCAAAAACATGTTTTTGAAGCATGGGTTCTCTTACTTTCTTATCAGAATTCAAGTTGTTTCTAAATTTACGCTTACCTAGTATGAGAAATGGTGAATTTACAGTTGTGATAACAAATGGCACTCCACAAAATAACAATAATCCAAAACTACTGTCAGTAGATAAACCTGCTGTCAGCACCCCAGATGATGCAATCCACACTTTTGTTCGGACACAGTCTAGCCTACAAAAGAGATTAGGAACGTGTAACTGCATTAGAATTTCTGCGGAGCAGAACTGAACAAAACTGGAAAATAGCATGAAAGTATTAATCACTGAACAAATTAGACTACAAAAAATACCTTGAAATAATCCTCATTATAGAAACGTAAGCCTAAACTCTCCCACATGTGACAAGCATTCAATACATATTTACATCTTACTAAGAGAAGCAGCAGGAAGGAAGAAGTACTGCCCCAATCCCAATAAGACAAAATCTCTTTTCTCCAATATTCAGAAAAATAATAAAATCTCTAGCCTATTTTGAACCCAAGGTTAAAGAGAAAAATATTTAGCTATTCTGCCTATTTGTGAGACCTTACTACATTCCATTATTATTATTATTATTATTATTTAAATTTGTCCACGGAATTCATCAGAATGAGACTGATATTATTAGTATAGTCAGATTAGGAACAGATTAATAAAGCAGGGAAGGAAAGCAGCAGATTGTTACACAACTTCTCTCTTCTAATTGTTCTTCCAACCATATGGCTAATGGCTTCTCACCATCTTATCTTTAATCTGGTGATCTGTTGCTACTTCACAATAAATTGTCCTTCTATGATTTAATTGTGATGAAGCAGGAAGGAACTGGGAGATTAATCTCTCCCAGCTAAGCCTCAAGGTGTACACAGCACCAACATAGGCTCAAGGATTGGGGAAAAGAGATTGCTACTTTCAGTAGGAATATAGTAGCTTTCTTTAGGCTTCCTATACATTCAAAAGCCCATCTTCTATGTTTCAATCTGGTACTAAATTACCAGGCCACATAATTCTGCTCAAATGCAAGTTAGTCATTGGGCATGGTATGGGTTTCCATACCATGGAATGGTATGGTATGGTATGGAAACCCAGTGAAGGAAGGGTTTTTTTTCCTCCTTGGGTTATCCAACAGCAGAGTTCAGCCTCTTCTATTTGCTAGAATGGGAGGTAATTCTCTTATATATACAATACTCATGGACAATCACAGATAAACTTAGTCCTTGCCTTTATCTTAGCTAATTCATCAAGCTGCAACAATATGTATTGTTATAGGGGGGCAAACCATAAATATAAGTGCCAAATACACATTCCTCCTACACATGTGCCCCCAATTGCCCTTAACCACAGAAATCACTTTAGAAAGAGAGCCTGGAGCAACAAAGGAGAGAAGTGGAAGAATGTGATGAAATGAAAGAAGGAATTGGAAGAAGATAAACAGATCAGGGAGGGAAGGGGAAGGGGTAACAGGACAGAATAAGCATCAATAAAATAGTGTTTTTATAGCCATGATTTCATAGTATGTATTAACTAATGAGGAAATTACATGCTAAAAAAAAAGAATGATCTTGGATCTTTCAGGAATGGATAAAATGTAAAAATAAAATAGTACCTTGCACATGATATAACTGAAAATAACATTGTCAAAAAATATGTGATGGAGATTAATGGCATAACTCTCTGGACAATTCTGTCAAATTCTTTCTGTTTGGACAGGGAAGTAAAATAAGTGACCTGCCAGATTGGAGAATATGGAGACAAAAGGATAATTAATTACATGAATGAAAATCAATACATGAATGGACAGCCCACAGCTTTCTAGGAACTTGGTATAATTCCTCTGCAGGTGCCCCAAATTCCAGTTTCTCATCTCTACTGGCCAGCTCCTTCCTGTTTTATTAAAGCTGTAACTACTGCCAGTTTTTCTACAAATCTGTCTCTACAGTATAAGGCCATATTTGTTCTGGTGTCTGTACTGAGGGTCTCTATGCTCACTGGCCGTAGTAACTAGGGATGTCTCAAAGTAAAAATCAGAACATTTGTTAGGACCTCCCCACGTTGGTGAGATGGGCCCTGTCCCTATCTCCCCATCACACCCTGACAAATCTTCCCTCTTGTTCATGAGACATTAGTCTTATCCCTAGCCCTTGATTTATTCAATCTTGTGTTATCGTTTTGTGTACCAGAATAAAAGTAGTTTTCCCCCAAATCTGATATTCTCCCCAAATTGATTCAAAATATGCAAAATCTATAACATTTCACCAGTCAGTCATAAAGAAAGATCAGTTAATCAGTTACAAGTATGATAAGAGGTGTATCCTAAGTGTTTCATAGTAATACTGACATGCCACCTCTCCTCTGGTCAATGGACAGCTTCTCTGACCATTTCACCTCCACCCAATTACAACAACAGTGATTCTACTAACTGCATCCTGCATTCTACTATATAAAAGTGTTGTGCTCCAGAATCAAGGCAGGCTCTCCACACAGTCATGGCAGAGTCTATCTACCCATAATGTGAAAGTAGATCCCTCCTTTGTGCAGTATGTTCTACTCTGATGTCTCTCCATGTGTCCCTAATTAAAGTATCCAAATTGGAATTTGTCATATCCTCAGCAGACCTCACTGCCAAGAAAGCAATGTAAATTGTATACACCTTGGGCCTTTCTCCTCTGCTGAGCTTGTGGGATCCATCCATTCTTGAGCAGCTGAAAACTACATCAGCATGAAATTTGCTGTCCCCATTAACTGGTCTCTATCCTGCCTCCATTTCATGTCACTGCAATCACTTGACTTCCCTCCAAACTAATAGGAATCAAAACCTAGAAGACTTTATGCTCCTTGAAGCTGCCCTGTGATGGTGTCAGAATAAGGGAAGAAATACTTGTTCAAGAGAGATACAGCTAAGGAAAATGTTGACCTGTCTCACTTGCAGACTTGCAATGGGAAGAATGCAATTTCATGGGGATATGGCAGGAAAAACAAGAGGTTGCAAAAGTGAAAATGGGAAAAAGGCCTATTGAACCAGTGGTGGTGATGGAATAGTGATTTTAGGGTTAATTTGAAGAAGGCAGCAGAAGTCAGTGTAAAAGAAATTTCCACGTCTTGTGGAACGAGCCCAGGGTTTGGGACAACAGTGGTACCATATCAAGTTATGGGTGCGCATGTGGAAACTATTTTTATTCCAGTACCCAAAGAGGCAGCATGAGACTACTTCAGTCATGGGCTGGGGACAGAGGGAACCAACTACATGAGGAGGAGGGAATATTAGGATTGTTAGAACATGAGTGTGATGGTGCAAATTACTAGTTGAGTCAAGCCAAAGTCTTAATAAAGCCCCAAGGGAGTCGCCTGACTGGAATCGCTGGGAAGGGCGACTCAAATCCAGAAACCAAAGGCTCGAAAGACGCAAGCCAAGCCGTGGGCAGCCAAGGGAAACGGGTCCCCGGACAAGCGGCTGCCGGGCAGGGCCGCCTCCATGCCGTGAGAGCAGCACACGCGGTTCAGGGCGCGCAGCACACGCGGGACGCGCTCCAGAAAGGCCTCC